TAACTTCATGTGCCCAATTTCCCTATTCAACATATCAGTCTGTTTAGTGACTTCTATTTGATTCTCCCCTAGCAAATTATCCTCAATATTTCTTTTTAACTCACTAACTTTTTCTTTCACATCTTTTCCTCCAACCTAATATTAACCCCTTTTTTCTCTATTTCTGCCCGTAACTTTTTATTTTGCTCCTTAACCTCTTCTCTCACCTGTGTAATCTGAATTCTAAACTCCTCATTCTCTTGCCTAATTTTTTTCATTTCTTTTAAACTTTCTATATTCACTTCATCTATTTTCCTTTCCAAATTTTCCCTCATATCATTCATATCCCCCTTAATATTATTCATATCCCCCTTAATATGAGTAATATTTTCATTCATAAAAATCAGCTGCTGCATAATCTCAAACATTCCCACCTGTGGTCTCACCTGCAGTCCCTGACTACTAATATCTTCTGACATAACAATTTTTTTTGAAAAAAAGTCATTTCAAGATCAGATACATAAATTTTATGTTATTTTGAAACACAATAAATTAATAAAAGATAATTATTTGTAATTAAGTGCTTAATTTAAAAAAAAATAATAATAATAATAATAATAATAATAATAATAAAACGAATTTAATGACAATTTCACAAATTCTTTTTATTATTTTTTTTATTATTATTTTGTTAGATTAAGCATTTAATTACAAATAATTATCTGTTATTAATTTATTGTGTTTCAAAATAACATAAAATTTATGTATCTGATCTTGAAATGTCAGATATTTCAAATATTATGTTTCCGAGTAGGAAATTGCAAGATCTATCAAAATCAAGAAAAAAAAATTGGGGTTGCTATTTAAAAAAATTGTCAATGACGTCACTGCCCAAAAATGGGAAGTGGGGGAAAATTGAATTTTATTTAAAAAATTGCGCTTTAAGTAAACAAAATTGACCTGTCCGAGCATTTTTTCGAAAAACCAGCTACTTCCATTATAATGAATTTATTCCTTTCATTTGAACCATACTGTATACTTATAATACAAGTACCAGTGTTATGAAATATAAAAAATATATTCGTTTTCAGCAGTAAATATTTATTAGTTTTGACATAAAGCGCCATAATCCTTTGAGCTGAATACATCAGATCCGCATTAAGGGATTTCAATAAATATTAATCAAATACATTTCAGAAAACAGATTTCGTATTACTTACATAAATTTACAAAAGGGTAAAATTTTAAATATTTAATTTAAATAAGAAGTAAATAGACATTGTTGCTAACGAAATTTTGTTTTTTAAAAGTAGTTTTATAAGAATATTTACTAAAGGTGGTTTTTAGCTCTTTTTGGTAGATAAATAAGAAGTAAAGAAGCATAGTTGATTAGTATTTTTATAAGAATATTAGATAAAATACAGGATGAATAACTTAAAATTTCAAGATAATGTAATAATCGATTTTAAAGGAAATAAAAAAAGAAAGTAGATTTATTCAAAATAATCGATTAACTGAAAATAATTGATATTTTTGAAAAAATCGATTTATCGTTTAATCGGTGTTTTAATTAATCGATTATTTTCGATTAATCTATTATTTTCGATTAATCGATTATTTTCGATTAATCGATTATTTTCAAATTTTCAAAGGTATTATATGAAAATAATTGATTGATCGAATATAATTCGTTATTTTATATAACCAATATTTCGGTTATTTTTTAGAAATATCGATTTATGGGTTAATCAGTTTTTTAATATTTATTAATTATTTTTGATTTATTGATTTTTATCGATTATTTTAGATTATTCAAAGATAATAGAATAATCAATTTTAAAGGAAATATGAAAAGGATTATTAGAAAATAATCTATAATTCGGTTATTTTTTTGGAAAATAGATTTATCGTAGAATCGGCTTCTTAATTAATCGATTATTTTCGGTATTTCAATGATAATCGAATTATCGATTTTAAATGAAATACAATAAAAATAAATTATTGATAATAATCGATTGATCGAAAATAATCGATTATTTAAAATAATCGATAATTCGGTTTTTTTTTGAAAATCGATTTATCAGTTAATCGACTTTTTAATTAATCGATTATTTTCGATTTTTCAAAGATTATCAAATAATATGTTTCAATGGACGAAAAAAAATGGATTATTTGAAAATAATCGATTATTTAAAATAAACGATAAATTTTTGTAAACATTGATTTATCGGTTAATTGGCTTTTTAATTAATCGATTATTTTTTATTTTTAAAAGATAATCAAGTAGTATATTTTAAAGGAAATACGAAAAACAATGGATTGATCGAAAATAATCGATTATTTTCAATGATCGATCATTTATTTCGACAATCACTAACTAATCCTCTATATTAATTAATATTCCTAAAGAAAGAAACTGAGGTTACCTACAATACAAAACAGCATTTTCTCATTTTGACTAATTTTTATTATTATGTAATAGCCGTAGAAAAAATATAATGTTTGACTCAAAAGGTTTGATTTGCAGTATTAGCCTGCGCATATGCTTTTTTATAATACTCGTAGACAATGAGTACCATTTCTTGCTCTATTAACAATATTCCATTTCAACATTTTACTGTAGTATCTTGCTGAAAAGTCCGTAGTAAATAAACGCTAACGAAATATTCTATAAAAGGTCTTCTTTTTACATAAAAAGTTGTGCATCTGTTTGATATTAAAAAATCACGTTAATTTTATTTCATAATACCAAATCCCATTAAACATATATTTTAAATAAATCTAATAGTTCATTATGATGCTAATAAACAAAGTCCGGTCCTTGTCACAGATTTCGGGTTTCTGCTCAGTTCCCCCACTCCGTTAACCTTTCTTTAGAAATTGGCAACATTTGCGCATGTTAAACACCGGTGTATGTTATATCTCTGGTCTCTTTTATCTAAGGTTCTAAATAATAAAAGTACTTTTTTACAAATTTTACAACTAAATTGCCATCTACCTAATACAGCAAGTTCAATTTGTAAGGAAATTTTTTCTAATTTATTTAATTATTTTAAAATTAATTTTGATTCAAAGTCAGGATTGCCCATTCGACCATTTACTATTGGATAATCAGGAAGCAGGATTGATATAGTAGGTATCGAATTTGATTTCTGTCTTTCAAATCCAATAAATACAATTTTATACTGTTCTCGAGTTGTTTTTTGTATGTTTTTGGAATAGTTCTCAGTGTTTTTTTAATATATCCATACTCATTTAAATAAACCCTACATACAATACGGCCAGCAAATGGCCCACGAGAAACAGAATTCCTACGAGACCTCTGATCGTGTTGTGGGTTAAGAACAATTAATATATTCTGAATAACAAATGAATATCTACTGGTAGAATTTTTAATTTACGTTCCAAAAAAATGTCAAATATACCGGGTGTTCAAATTAATGTGTTACAGTTAAATACCGCCTTTTATAAAACAAAGTTTCAGACAAAAGTTTTATAGTTTTCTGGGGGAAACATTTTGGATATATTCATTTTTTTATATCTAACCATAATATGGCCAATTTTTTTTTCACGCGGCTAAATTTTCAAGCATGTGTTACTCAATAAGTAGAAGCCAATAAAAAAATGTTTCCTTTAGAAGTTTCTTATTTTTTTATGAACTTTAAGAATATGTAAAAAGCAGGGTGCCTATTTGAAAAAAAGCTACCTCGATGTGACCATATAATATGGTTAGCTATAAAAAAAATGAATGTATCCAAAATGTTTCCCCCAGAAAACTATAAAACTTTTGTCTGAAACGTTTTTTTATAAAATGCATATTTTCGGCGATCTTTAACTGTAACACTTTAATTTAAACACCCGGTATAATCATCAACATACGTTCTTTAATCACAAAACACTAAATTATAATACCAACTTACTAGAAATCATCGTTCAGATTTGGTAACTATAAACAACGTAACGACTTTGTTATTGAATAGAGTTTTAAAAATTAACGTTATAAAAGTCGTTGATTGAACTGTCGTTAGCTTAACGATGTCGTGCATAAACGATAAATTACTGAATAGGGCCCTAAAACGCACTTAAAATAATTAAATAAGTTAGAAAAAATTTCCTTACAAGTTGTACTTGCTGTATTAGGTAGATGGCAATTTAGTTGTAAAATTATTAAAAAAGTGCTTTTATTATTTAGAACACATCCTGGTTCACGATGAAAAATGAGAGGGAATGGAAAAATCACTATAACGACACTTCATATTATTAACGGCAGCTCTATGGCTATCGTTGATGAATGACAATTTTACAACCATATTTGTCTATTTTCAACGATAATCGTTGTCTACTGAATAAGAAAAGTCGTCTGTGAACGATTATCGTCTATTAACGACGGCGAGTATTTGAACCAAAAACCTGGCCAAAATTATTTAATGTAATTTATCATGTGGAGATGCATAAATAAACAATTTAAGGTATTATTCAATTGTGTATTTTAATAAAATAAGTAAAACAAGATTATTATAATAAAATTTTTTAATCAAAATCTGATTCGTCGTTTTCATCTCCCTCTTCTTCATCGCTGCTTTCGGTTCCGACACATTGAGTTTCAGGGAGCAGAAGATTTATTGTTTCAGAAGAAAATGGCTTGCTCTTATTACGTGGGTGTGGTCTACTGCTGCTTAATAATGGGTCAGAAGTTAATAAAAGCCTGTTTAATATGCCTCTATTGCACACTACTCGTTAAAATTTACTTGAGAAGTTTTGTCTGTAGAGTCTAAAGCGCTTATTTCTGGCTTCGGCAGCTTTTTCTGAGAGCTGCCCAATTGGTAATATAAAATGAGAAATTACAACTGCACCATGTATTAATATTTTGTGTAGAGTCGGTGTCATTCGATACCACCCATATAGCTGTACATACAGTTTAGCAGTTTCGAATGTATAGCCTGCAAACTTTTCCACGTCAATCATATGACTACTTGAAATCGTTTCCAAAATCACTTTGAACCTGTATATCAAATTTTTGTCTATTCCGGTAATTCGAGAAGCTGCTTCTGGATCGGCAAAAATCTAGATATATTACCGTCATTAGTGTTCCCAAATCCTGCCTTTGGAATGTCCACTGAAAGGCCCATTTCATTTCTAAATGCTTTTTGAATTTGTTCTTTTCTTTTTTTCGTTATTTCTCTTTCTTCAGGCAATCTTAGTTGCCATTTTTTAATAGATAACTTGTACGAGATATGTAATAACGATTCAAATAATCTAATTCTAGGATGAAGAATTGATAAACCGAATCTCAGAGTTTCAGGATTGACTTCCTTTCTTCTGCTCAAACAGTTAAAGTCTTTCGAGGTTAGCCCACAAATATAGCACCTCATAGTAGAAGTTGTATTGGTCGCTGCATTGCAAATCTTAGCGTACACCATTGTTGGTAGCAGGATATGTATAATGTAAAGTATGCCGTTAGCAGTCATTATTTCTGTTTTTGTTAAATTCCTTGCCTGGCTCTCTACATATTCAATTTCATTGTTTGTTACATCTTTAGTTTCAGAGTTACTGAATGGGCCCCTTTTAGTCTCGTCGTACATACTGTTACGCAGCACCCTGTAGTAGCCTGCGGCTATCATAGGAAACGTACAGAGAAGAAGAAGTGGAATCTTACTCATCGCTTTACAGTGTCCTTCGGTCGTCATGAGTAAAAGTACAAGTAAAAGAAGACAGAATATTCCAGAAATGTCATTACCCGTTAAGAACATTCTAGATGACATTTCAAAAAGGTTCGAGAAGGTCAACAAGCTATATAAGTTGACGACCTGGCGTCAGAGTTTTAGTTTTATGATAGACGTTATACGTGAATGTTATCAGTTGTAAAGTTATTGTCAAAGGTAAATTATAGTTATTGTAAAGTTTAGTTGAAATAAATTGTGATACCAAAAATCAGCGTAACATTGGTGACAGCGGTGGGATCTAAACTAAAAGTTCATGGTAAATACCAGATCTACCGAGTACGAAGCAGAAATGGACACTTCAGGCCCATCAGCATGGTTTTTGAAGATGGAAGAGGAGAGAGTAAGGCGAGAAGAGGAAAGGGAAAGGCGTAGGAAGGAAGAAGAGGAGGAAAAGGAACGGCGTAGGAAGGAAGAAGAAAAAGAAAAGGAAGAGAGGCGCAGAAAAGCTGAGATAGAAATTATGAATGGTTTGCTGCAAATCCAAGATAACCTTAAGCAAGAGGTAGGTCAGCTAAACAGCCGAGTAGATATATTAACACAACAACAAGATAATTTAAAGATTAATTTAGAACAGCAGCAAGAGAAGCTAAAAACTAATTTACAGAACCTAAAAACTAATTTAGAGCAACAACAAGAAAACTTAAAGATTAATTTAGAACATCAACAAGAAAATTTAAAAGCTAATTTAGAGCAACATCAAGAGAATTTAAAAGCTAAGTTAGAACAATGAGAAGAGGCTAGAGTAGAATTGAAAAGGCAAATTAGAGCTGAAATGGCCGAGTTAGAGAGAAGAATTCGTAGCCAAACTTCTGTAAACAACATTCAAGCTGAAAACACTACCTCGTCTTCATCTGTAACCGACCCAAGCCGTATTCAAACCCCAGTCTCACAAAACCAAAGTAACAAGACCCTGAAACCACCCACGTATGACGGTCAGACAACATGGGAAACATATTGACTCCAATTTGAAGCTGCAGCTAGAGCCAATCGCTGGGCCGAGAAAGAGATGGCGGCTTCATTGATAGTGTCACTGCGAGGTCATGCAGCAACCGTTCTACAGTTTATTCCCCAAGAAGAACCCAGTTATTCATCTCTCGTCCAAGCTTTGGAGACAAGATATGGCCAGCAGCATTTGAAACAGGTATTCCAAAGACAGCTAAAAGTTCATAGTCAGAAACACAATGAGAGTCTACAAGAATTTGAAGCCGATATTAAAAGATTACTGCATCTGGCCTATCCACAGGCACCTATTTGTCAAGGGGTATATCGATAACCAAGAATGCACCTTCGTCCTTGATACTGGTGCAACTAAGTCTTTCATTCGAACAGGGATCCTGCATCGAAAACCACGACCAACTCGAAGAAGTTAGTCTACAGGCGACCACAATCAAGCCAGAGGATGACGAAGACGGAATCACCCTTGAAAGCCTAAGAAGAACTCAAAAGAAAGACAATGACTTGAAGGTTGTCCGAGAATGGCTCAAAAATGGAGTTAGACCTACATGGCAAGATATAGCCAAATATAGTGGAACCATTAAAGGGTACTGGACTCAGTGGGATTCCCTGTATCTTCACGATGGCCTATTGCACCGGAAGTGGGAGAGCCCCGATGGAGTACATGTAGTCCGCCAAGTGATTCTGCCGAAGTCACAGGTCAGAAATGTATTGGAGAAGCTTTATAGCAGCCGTTCAGGAGGACACTTTAGTACTAAAAGGACACTTGCACGAGTTCGAGAAAGATTTTATTGGGTCAATTGCCGACGGGATGTAGAAGATTGGTGTAAGGAATGTGACCTCTGTAATGGCAGAAAAGGGCCCAAAATAAGAAGTAGAGGTAAAATGGCACAGTACCTTTCCGGAGAGTCTTTCGAACGAATCGCTATTGATATCCTCGGACCACTTCCCTTAACAGAAAGGGGAAACAAATACTTGATGGTTGTTATGGACTATTTTTGAAAGTGGCCCAAAATAGTGCCTATTCCTAATCAGGAAGCGATGACTGTAGCGGAAGCATTTATGACGAATGTTATTGTGAGACACAGAGTCCGAATTATGGCAAGAATTAATGAAACTGTTAGACATCAGGAAAACACGCACTACGCCTTTACACCCACAGTCCGACGGAATGGTAGAAAGACAACAGAACGAAATGCCAGTATCCTTCAATGTTCGTCTCTGATAATCAAAAGGATTGGGACACATTAATTCCTCTATTTCTGCTAGCCTACCGAAGTTCTGAACATGAAACGACCAGTTATACCACATCCATGATGAACTCGACTCGACATTAATAATATCTTAAATGGATCGCCTACTACCATGTTTTAGAAATAAATAAAATGTAATTCTTAAATTAATGAACATATTCCTTGCGTCATGTTAATAAAAATGAAACAAAATTTCTCATCATTTATTTGGTATTCTGTCCCGTATTTCCATGCTTCTATTAGCTCTGCTGTCAACAAGTTTTGGTAAGGCATATTGAATATATTTTTTTTTATTTTGCATCCTTTCTTCCCAAAAGTTGTCATTTCGAGGAATTTTCTTCACTTTCATTCCTCCAGGAGTCCAAACGCACAAAAGGCAAAATTCCATTTGAGCTATGTGCAGCTAGCCCTGAATTTGAAACACCAATTGTGATTCTCCTTAATGGTATTCTCCTTTTCCTAAAAAGTAATTTTTCTACTGCATATTCCTTCTTCTACAGACTCCATCTAGCTCCATATGGACATTTGAACTCTATCATAGAGTTTTGTTTTATTTTTAATTCCATCCGGACTGACAGCAAGATCATCAAATTCGAAATCAATAAAAAGTCCACATTTAAAAAGTTTTTCTTGCAAATAAATTTCCAAATCTTATTTTGCTCTGGCTTCATTGTCCATGCCTATTGGGTGGCTTTAGCAAAAAATGACTCGGGATTAGTAACAAATTTTTTAAAGAAGACCTTTTTTACAAATTTATCCAAATTTTGAAGAAGTGACTCGTTTTCGTCTTTCATTGTGCACAATTAGCTTAATCTCGTGTCTCAATCTTTTTTTTTTCTCATCTACAGACATTGGCAATTTTTTTAGAAAATCTTCTTTTACAACGCGCATCAAAGAGTGCGGCAGATCAAAGCTACGCGAGGAAGCAAGAACAATGATTTGCTTAGATCGAAAACTTTAACAAATTAAAGGGTTGTTAACGTGCTGGAATTAATGATTGTTAACTCAAGGAAGTATTCATTAAAAAAAAAACCGTGCGATATAAAATTTAAACAAAAATATATTTATAAATCATATCTTACTGTATACCTTTTGATTTCGGATATATTTTTTTAAGAAATAAATGATAAAATAAATTTAAAATAAGCGAAATTACTGTATGTAAATAATAACAAAGTGAAACAAATATGAAACAAAATCAATTCAAATCACTACTGTTTATCACTGGTAAATAGTAGAAAAATATATACATTCTGTTGGTGTCATCCTCTAGACAAAAAAGCTTTTAAAGTACATTTTTTCATTTTCATTGTAAGAAAAATAAATGCTCTCGTAGGCAATAATAAAATATATTGTTCCCTTCTAACGCTTTTTACCATTTTTATTACTTTTCGTTAGAAAGGCATATTTTTAGTTTTTTTTTTTTTAAACGAACTTATTCAAAAAGTGACTCCAGAAGGGTACGGGTTTAACCTTTACCTGGACTTACATAATTTTTCTTATAGAAAAAATAAAAAATAATCCGTATGATTGTTGTACTATGAAACCTTTGCATATAATCTTTATGCTAATCTTAGTATTACGTAGAAAAATACGGTGTACAAATACGTAAAATTTATTTATCCCTCGTAAAACAGTAAAATATATTATAAATTGTTTTCATTCACAAATATTAATTTCTTAAAAATCTAACAGAGGCGCTACTTTCCAGACGAAAAATCTTGCAATGTAACGGTTTTAAGTTTATTTAATTTAAAAGTTAAATCTATGCTCCTCTGGAATCACTTTTTCAAAATTCGATTTAGTTTTTTTTTTAAATTGAGAAAATGGATAAAGAAATTTAGTAATTTTTTTTCAGAAAAAACAATCTAATTTTGAGAAAGTGTCTCCAGAGAAGCACAAATTTAACGTTTACCTACACGTACATACAAGTAAATACTCCTCTTAAGATACATTTTTAATGTACAAACAATTTTATTATTTCTACCAGTGGCGTCCGTGCGGGTTTCGTATTGAATATTTTTGTAGCAAAAAATAGTACGCCGCTGCTTCCTCTTAAAATAACAATTATTTTTTAAATACTAATAGTCCATTTAAAGGAAAGGTAAAATGGGTAGAATTGGTCGGCATGAAGAGACCTCCTACTCCTTATGTTTTTGGGGTCGCTGATCACAAAAATGAGGGTTAGAAACGCCGCAGGGGCGCGAAACACCCTTAAAATTGCAAAAAAACACCCCTAAATAGGGTTGTTTTTCGACTGTACCTGTTGTTTTGCTCAACTAAGCCATCTTATATGTTTTTTGGGGCGCTGATTACGAAAATGAGGGTTAAAGCTACCTGCAAGGGTTGGAACACCCTTAAAATTGCAAAAAACACCCCTAAGTAGGGATGTTTTTCGACTGAACTCATTGTTTCACGAAGCTAAGCCATCTTATAAGTTTTTTGGGGCGCTGATTACGAAAATGGGGGTTAAAACTTGCAGCGATGGTTGAACCACCCCTAAAATTGCAAAAACACCCCTCAGTAGGGGTGTTTCTC